GGTGCCGGTAGCAACAAAAACTACGAGGAACCATGCAAAAAACGCATCTTCGCACGGGCAGCCCGTACGTTGGCCAATTTTTCCGTTTTGCATAACTGTTTAGTAAGAGAGAATTTCCCCGAAAATGATCACGCACCTCTGGAGGAATAATGGAAATGTTAAATTTTGTTTCATTTAAGAATTTTTTTAAAACATTTCAGCAGATCTGTGAAAAAATTTTTAGGAAACATTTTTCGGTCATGTTATTTTCCATTTTTTTTTTTTTATTCTAATTTTATTCATTTTCAGCGCTGCTCTGACAGGCTTGCAGCATCAGCAGCACATCTCTTCGTCTTCTGCATATCCTGAATTACCAATGAACAACGCTTTTTTTGAGGTGAGGATATTTTCTGGGAATTGTCTACTGGAGTGTTTTTGTCTAGCAGCAGACTTTCAAAAGTGTCAAAAGTGCATATGGGCCGGAAGACAGCATTCACGTTCCTTCTCACACACGAACAAGTGAGATTTTACGTAACTCCAGAACTAGAACAACTGGAGTGCTGAAATATCTAAGTAAAGAGTGGGAGGCACTGTAATAATTTCTGCATTCATGGTGGCCAGCTTCAATTCTTTCAGCCAAAAGCATTTGCCAGATGAAACAGTGCCTTTAGCAACGAAAAACCGCGGCGGAACTGTGCATAAAATGCATCTTCGCACCAACAGTTAGTGCGCTGGCTAATGATATATTTCTGGCACTGGCATACTTTATAAGTTGTTAAATGAATATGGGATTATTTTTTTTCTTGTCAGGTTGGTGCCTGTTCTCCATTGGCGACTGATTCAAAAATAATGCCAGGAGCGAGCAAACAAGTGGAAGGGGGAGCAGGCACGGGAGATTCAGAAACTGAGGAGGAGCAGTTGGATCTTGAAGAATGTGATTTAGAAGAAAAGGTTAAATCTTGTAATTAATTTTATGTAATTATTTTGAACATTCGAATACTTGTGGTTCTGTAATGCTCGGGCCGCCCGAAAAATATCCCCGGGAATGTAAATCTTACAAGGGAAACAGGCTTTATGAATAAAACAAATAAACAGCAGCGGGGAGAACGATGACGGCGGGCGCAGAACCAGCCGGCAATAGCACCAGACTGAACTCCAGTCATTTTTGGTTACAGCATTTTTATACTGCAAGGCGTAACACGAGTCTCAAGACGGGACATTTGCATATCGCGTGGAAACATTGGGCTTCTGGAGTAATGAGAGGGAGTTCAGTCAGCTTCATTCAGTGCCCATATCTGCCTCTTTTTCCTTTTACAAAAATTTCATTGTCCCCGCACTCGTTTCATTAGTATAACTGGGTGCTTTTTGTTGATTCTTGCAACAAAAATTTCATCAATTATTTTCATTTGCTATTCTGAAAAAGAAGGTTGAATGTGTCACACTGTTTTTTTGCTGCCCGTGTGTGACTCTTCATTAAATTACTGTTGTTACCAGCCACTGCCTCCATGAAAAACGTCAGTCGTGGGTGGTAGTTTACTAGAATTTGTTTGTGCAGATTTTTCGAAAGCCATCGAACTACGAATACACAGACACTGGGAATCACGATGTGCAAGATTTAAAATCCTCCATCGTTTTTTCACTCCTTCTGTGAAAGGTGGAAGTGTCCAAAAGTAGCTCGACTGATGGCACAAATTCAGCTGCTTAGAGGCCTCCAGGGCTCACGTACGGGTACTTGAAAATTTTAGCTTAAAAACTGCTAACTAGGGAACGAGAAAAGCTAGAAAGCTGGAACTTGAGAGTAATGTTCCCTGCCCATGTATGACTGAAAGATTTCAACAGGTAGTGCTTTCAGTCATTTTCCAGAAGTTGCTTGTAAACAGGCTGTTGAAAATGGTTTTGACTTCCTTGCTGCGCAGTATCATTTCATAATCAGTACGAATCAATAAGTCACATAGGGGTTGGTCTTCCCGCTGGCGCAATCGCCATCGAATTGCACTCTCAGAATAACATTAATTACTTCCACATTAGGTCTGTCGAATGATTATTACTGCTATTATTTGTTATTGTGATCACAGCTATAGTTATTGTTGTTTTGCAATTGTTATCGTTATTGTTATTATTATCATTATTGTTATTATTATCATTATTATTATCGGTATTGTTAATGTTATTATTAATTAATTATTCATTAAGCCGCAATAAAAGTTACACGCAGTAACAACTACATCTGCATGCTTCGTTCCTCACAGCAATGAAAGTAAAATATTGTTGCTTTCAGTTGGCGTTACGCGATGCCTATGCAGAGGCAGTGTTTGATGTGATTTATGAGGAGCTAAAAGAAGTCCTGATAAAAGATGTGGAGCGCAAAATCGAAACCATTGCATTTGAAAAGCTCGAACAAAGATGGGACGAAATGGAGCACTCCAGCGCACAAATGGTTCAACAGCGTTCCATTTTTGTTCTTTTTAATGCTTCAAATTTTATTTTTTTCTATTTCTGTTGTATATTTTGCATAAAAGCAATGTTATTGTTGCATTTTAGTGCCGCGAGAATGATGAATCACAGAAAAGTAGTGAAGTACGAGAGGGTGCCGTCACACCCTCAGATACAGTGGCCAAAGCGGTTCCATCACAAACAAATCCAGTGATAAGGTAATCCTTTTACCACGTATTTTTAAAGTAAACTTGGAATCGATTGTTCAGTTTTTTTTACTTCAGCTTGGTTTTATCACCAGTGTCTTTATTTTTGCTTATCAGACGGCGAGTGAATAAAATGATTAAGAAGCAGCAGCAACCAACCCCTCATTCAACTTAAAAACC